GGAGCGGGAGGTGGGTGGGAAGGAGAAGGTGTTCTGGGAAAGCAAGAACCCCACTCAGGATGTGGGGAAAAAAGACATGGCCACGACGACGCGGAATCAAAGGGGGGCCAGAAGACAAGCGACGACGATACGGCAACAATGAACAGCAAACCGCCAACGAGCTGAGTTCCCGAACTCAGAAGTGGCAACTCTTCTGGGGACCGATGGAAATGCATGGCCATCGGCGGGCACAGAAACACACCATGAACCAGAGGGGGAAAGGGGATTGCCACGTACGCCAAGCACGCACAACAACGAACACAAGACGATATTAATTGTATCACCGCCTGTGCGTTTTTTGAAGCTGGGCCGTTTCTCGTGAACATCCGCGGGACTCCGCTCGCCAATAACACTGCTCCTTACGTATTCCGCTCCCCCCTTGTATATATGATTATGATGGCCACGCGTTCCGCGATATATGACCAGTGGAAGATCATCGCGCCTGCGCAACGACGCTTCCGACGCGCATTACGTCGGACTGTCTATGTGGATGTAATCGTGCTCACGGATACAACGCGAGGAGCAATTCTGATCGCGGTGAACTCGCTGACGCTGGCGCGGACGCACGAAAACACTACGACGCGCATGAGGAGTTGCGCTGAGCACGCGGATGTTGATTTTTGAGTCAAACGTGTGTGACTAAAACAAACGTCCGCGTTTAAATTAAACTCTACGTCTAAAATTAAACGATCCGTTTAATTTAAACGCCATTGCACCTCTGGGAACACAGGTTGCAAGCGTGTTGCACATGGGGGTGGGGGGAAAAGTGCCCGTCAGGTGGGGGGGGGGAACGACAACGTCTGACCGGGGTCACCGTAGGTAGCGGTGTGGTAGGAGTGCGGAACGACTGGTGGAGCACCTGGGGTGGGCCTTTGGCCGCCAGTCCCAGTCCTCCAAAGTGAATGCCCAATTGGACAAAGACGGGCCGTTGTCCGGTGAGATCAAGGGCAAAAGGAACCGCGGGAGTGGATTATGTCAGCCGGCCCCGCACGAACTGTGAAGCCCACGACCAAGGTGGGAGTCTAAAAGCAGAGTGGTGGTAAAAGTGCACCTCAGCCCAAAGAGGCGGCACAGGAGCATTAAGGTCTCGGCCTGTCACCGCGGTGAACCTAGCCCCCTAAGTGCAGGGACCACCCACGAAAGCGGCAGCCCGTGGGGGACCGCCGTCCGCGCGGTCTTTATTCCTCACCAATTGCATGCCTGTGCGCAGCAAAGGGGCGGTTGAGGACCATAGGGCTGCCGACCCACTGGGCCCCGCATGGCACAGAGGGGCCCCATATGGCCCACAGGGTCAGCGCGATGGAGACCACGTTGTATAGGGAGGTGAAGGCTGTCCCCAGCTACCCGAGGTCGTTGTTGTCCAGCAAGCAAGCGCTGCGTTCCGTGACGGGCTGAGTGGCAACTCGGAGCATTGACATGGCCGGGGGGGGGGGGGGGAGGTCTTGAGCCGCAGACGAGCTGCGCAAGCCAGCCCTTGAGAGAGCGGGGAAGGGGCAGACGTGCAGGTGGGAGCGCGAGTAGCTCACTTGGGGGCGGAGTCCCATCCACGATGGCGCTTGTCAGCATAGTGGGTATCCCCCCTGGCGGAGGACCGTTTCCCCCTGGCCCTCCAGTCTGCGTCGACCCATGTGTCCTGCTGGCGGTCCCGCCCGCCCCAGGATTGCCATGAACCCCAGGGGGCGGCCTATCCTGATGCGTCCGTCTGAGTGGCGACTCTGTAGTCGGTGTACAGTGGGGGGGACCATGTAGCCTCTTTGTTCTCGTTAGCCCACGGGTTCCAGCGTCCGCCCCCAATGGGCCCCCCCGAGGCAGCTGCCTGCGAGGCGCCTTTGTCGTCGGCGGGCGGCAGGGGGATGCTGGACGCACCATTGTCCTCGTCGGCCCATGGGTTCCAGCGACCGCCTCCGATGGGTCCTTCGGGGGTGCGGTTTTTCGTGTCGCGCTGTATGAGCCTGCGCTGCTTGTCCATGATGTTTGGCCATTCAACCTGGAGCTGGTACTCCTTGTCCATCCTGTAGGCATCGTAACCTGCTTTGCTCCATGTTTTGAGGAAGTCGTCGCACTGCTGCAACGTATTCTTCCTGGGGTCGGAATTGATGTTGACCCATGCGCTTCCTTGCTTGGTTCCTGCCTTGCGAACCCAGGCGCTCCAAACTCCATTGAAAGCACCTCCCAGCGTCTTCTGCAACCTCATTATCTTGTCTGGTGCTGGTTCGTCCTTTGTGACATTTGCTTCATTGATGGGCCGCAAGTACATGGGGGGGCCACCCATGGGGTCATCCGGGCGCGCAGGTGGGATTGCTGCTGACAGCGTGTCGCGCCCCCGCCCCGCGCCGCGTTGTTGCCTGGGTGAGCTGCGGGGCGGAGGGACAGAGCGACCTATGGAGGTGTCTTCGGGAATGGTGGGGGGGTCGGCGATCTATTTTGTTCTCCGTCAGCCTGAGCTTCCTGCCGTCACTGGCCGCGTCTGCGAAGGCCCGTGCGGCCCGCGCGTACGGGGACCAGGCTTGCGCGTCGACCCTCCGGGGGGGTTGGGACCGCAGGGGGGGAGTGCTGCGGGCGGACTCACGGCTGTTCGGTCCAGGAGGGTGGGCGTCATCTACCTGGCGTGCGGAGCTGGCCTGCACCTCGGAATCGGAAATGTCTGGTGGGCTTCCGTGCGCCCGGCCGTCCGGTTCGGATCCCTTGTTGGACTCATCCCAGTCGGTCCCTTCATAGTCGCCGCCGCCGCTTTCCATACTTGCATGGGGGCGGCTCGTCTCCTGCGCATCCGTCGGACTGGCCTGGTGCGACGGGTTGCTGGGGGGACGCGTGGCCAACTGCGTGTAGAGAGGTAGGGTCAGACGGTTCCTCTTGGGGCCTGTTGAGCCAAATGGCTGTGGGGGGACCTTCTTTATCAGCGCTACTTGTCTTTGCCACCTTGGGTTGGCCGGCGAGGAGCTCTATCGTTCCTCCTGCTAGGTCATCCTCCATCCTTGAGAGAAAGAGGGTGAGTGCACTCAAAGGCTGTCGGTGGGGGCACTGTCCTTTCTGATTGTCGAGTTTGTCTGCGAAGCACTTCCATTCCTCCTGGTACTTCAGATTGCTCTCCACTAGGTGTGTGACAACCCCGGCAGCCGCGGCCCTCTGTCCGCCCCAGGGGATGTGTGGGGGATGGCCGTTGCCGGGGATGTCATCCCCGTAGATAGTTGCCAGAAAGGTCACCAAATTTTCGAGGGACCACCCCGATTCGTCGGTGACCTCGCCCACGATGTCTTTTCCCAAGCGCTGCGCGTGGCCTGCCCAGATGGTGTACATTGTGTGGTTCCACTCAATCAAGTATTTTACCAACGCACGGACAGGGCCTCTCGACTCGTCCCCTGCCAGACGGAGGGTGGAGTGCGTGGGAAGTGACGGCGCAGTGGGGGGTGGTAGGTCGGGAAGCGAGTAGCTGAGGGTGACCCCTCCGGCGGAGACCTCATGTGGCTGCCCGGTGGGGGGCTGTGTTGACCGGCAGTCGCCTGTTGGAGTTGGTGTGTCGGGGTCTGCGGCTGGCGCGCGGCTGGTTGTGACAAAGTGTGCGGACATGCCGTAGATGCACCATTCTTCTGTGATCTCGTTCATGGCCGGCCTACTGGTCGGGGAGGCAGGGTAAATCTCGCTGCAGCAATGGTCAAGTATTCGGTCGAGGGCGCTTGGGGCGATGTCCCAAATGTGAACCAGGCACCTCCTGCATGCCCAGCCGGCGTTCCACTTCCTCTGGATCCACAGCAGGGGCATTGCGTCCCACGGCGGGAGGCCTGTCTGTTCGTTGCAGTCAGCGTCTGCCTCTGGGCGCCATATGAAGCAGCCAAGGGCTGGTGAGCCTGGCGACCACTCTAACAAGGGGGAACAGGGGGGACAGGTGTCACAAGAGGCCGAGTACAGTTGGGTGAGGTGTACTTCGGTGCGGAACCTGCCGTCGGTGAGCTTGTGTGGTGGGAGTGTCGTGCCTGCGCTGGCTGGCTGGAACTGGCGCGGCGTGCGCATGACGAGGTTCTTCAGAGAGGTTGGGGCTGAGGCGTCAGTAGGCTGTCCGAATCCCAGCGGTAGTCTGGACAGGGAGGGGGGAGTCCTGGCTCTCTTGCGTGCACGGTTGTCGTCCACTCTGCGTTTGTACTCCTGTAATAGCCACTGCATGGACTTCTTGGTACTGCGTTCGGTTGTGCTGGGTACGGGGACGTGTATGCCCTTGCTTTCCAGCGAGCTGACCCAGCATTGCTCGCAGAGCCACCTGCAGTTCTTGCCCTCCGTGTGCGCCTGAGCTCGGTTCTGGGCTAGGAGTTCCCGGGTGTCGTCGTCCTCCCAAGTACCTGCTGCTCCATGCAGTCCTGTGTTGGTGCATCCGTCACAGTTGTAGGTGGCGCCCTTCTGCAGCCTGCAGAAGCGGTCGTCTCGAACGATCGGGGGGGACAATGTTGTTCCTGGGGCCAGGGAGGCCGGGATGTCCTCGTCGAGACGGTGGCTGGAAATTGCAACCCCGCCCCCTATGTACTGCAGGTCCTCCATGGTGTGTGGACTGCCGAACCCCACGTCTGATCCCGTCAAGGCCTTGTGCAGCTGGCAGATGGAGCACTCTCCACTGCTTAGCTGCTTGACGTTCGCGGGCTGGACTATTGCCTCCAGTACGCGCAAGGGGGCCTCGAGGGTGAAGTCATGCCTCTGCATTCCCGCCCATGTCCTGGGGCACTCGTGCTTAGCTGCAATCTCGTGGTGATGAGCTGGTGGGATACGCGAAGCGTCAGGAATTTATCAGCACAGTCCGGGAGGGACGAGGAATGAGGGAGCAGGGGCGGGGGAGGGAAACTAAAAACGAAAGGGACGAGATATAGACCTTCTATCTTGGCATGAACATGAATGATCTTATTATACCTTTGAATCTACAATCCGTGTGTGAGTGGGGGGGCGGATCCTCCCCAAAACAAAAAGCTGCCGACGACATCCTCGTAGAGCACCGCGTCGTTGACGATGCACAGGCGCCTCAAGCGCTCTGCGTTCGTGCCAGCGATCTGGGGCAACGCTCCCGCCTAGTGCGCGTCGGGTTGCCGCCGCGTGGGGGGATAGAGCACGGGGAGGCTGGGGAAGGGGCGACAGAGGGAGGCAAGGGGGGTGGGGGGAGGCAGGGGGAGGGGGAGGGGCATGGGCGACAGAGGGAGGCAGAGGGAGGCAGGGAGAGGCACGCGCTGTCGGGAATGGGGAGGCAGGGGCAGGGGCGACAGAGGGAGGAGGCCAGGGGAGTGAGGCATGAAGGGGCGGGCGGGCAGGCGGGCGGGCGAGGGAGAGAAACAGGGCAAGGTGTGGCAATGCAGGGGATGGGGATGGAGGGGAGGAAGGAGGCTTGACACACCCTGCTGGTGCACATTCGGATGGCGGTCGGCTGTTGCTCGAGGCATCCTTCGACTCGATGGTCTTGAGGCCTGACACTTCCGAAGGCTACACGGATGCAGGCAATTGTTCTCAACATCGAGCTCTCGCCAAGGCTCGCGTTTCATACGACTCCGCCGTACCTCTGTGAATGAGTGAGCAACTGCACGAACGGAGGGCGGTGCCGTCTGCACACGGTGCCGACGTGGCTCCGAAGCCGCGCGAAATGCCATGTTGAGGCTCTTGCATGGCCCACGGACGGAGGGCCACTGCCACCGAGCTCGCTGCGTCCTGTCACGCCAGCGGGTGCACGTGTGCACTCACCGTGCAGGCCCACGTGGCCCCTCGCTTCCTGCGGCAGTGAGGGCCTGCGGGCGCCAGGTCGGGAGGATGGCGCACAGGACGGGAGGGGGTACCGCGACAGCGGCGGTGTGCGCGTGAGCTGGATTGGAGCTGGTCTCCCACCCCCATCCTCCTCCGCCTGCTCCTCCTCCTTTTCCCGAACCTCCTCCTCCTCCTCCTCCTCCTCCTCCTCCTCTTCCTCCTCCTCCTCCTCCCTTCCTCCTCCTACTCCTCCTATCCTTAATCCTTATTAGAATATACTCCTACTCCCCCCTCAGGCCGGCAGATAGGGGCCCCATCCGGGTGGTCCCATCCTAACCTGTAAAAAACAATACAAAATCAACATGTTTTCTTATTTTTTCCTCTCGACATGGACGTCCTGTCGTCCACGGCGATAATCCATTGCAAAAAACACCACAAGGAGCACACGCGCGCGTTCATGTCAGAATCCTACCGAACACCGTGTGTGGTTGCAAGCATTTCAACATAAAAACATCAAAAACCCAATGCTTTCTCACAAACATTCTACAAATTTCCTGCCCGGGCTCTCTTGCTGAAATCATAGGAAAACCATGGGAATCTTAAGAATTCGGTCAAATCCAGCGATTTCACGTCATCGCGCGGTGCACTCGCGATGCTCTGTCATGCACCCAGGCCGCGAATCCTGTGCAAAAAATACCACGCGGGCGACATGCGCGCGCGTCGCCGCGAGCGCATGCTCAAATCCTTCTAGAGTCGTCGCCGTCATTGGCACCGTCGCATGGACGTCCTGTCGTCCACGTCGCAAAATGCATGGCAGGAATGGGACGCGGCGCACACCCCGCGCCCGCCCATCCAATCCGTCCCATTCTAATCTGCAAAAGACAATACACAGTTTTTGTTTTTCTTGTCAACATGGTCGTGCTGTCGTCACGTCGCAAAATGCGTGGCAGGAATGGGACGCGGCGCACACCCCGCGCGAAGGGGTGACATGTCGCTCTCGCCTCGGCGCCGCGCACCAACGTTTTTCCTCTCAGCATGGACGTCCTGTCGTCCACGTCGCAAAATGCTTGGCAGGAATGGGATGCGGCGCACACCCCGCGCCCGCCCATCCAAACCCCCCCCGTACTACTACTACTACTACTACTACTACTACTACTACTACTACTACTACTACTACTACTACTACTACTACTACTACTACTACTACTACTACTACTACTACTACTACTACTACTACTACTACTACTACTACTACTACTACTACTACTACTACTACTACTACTACTACTACTACTACTACTACTACTACTACTACTACTACTACTACTACTAGTACTAGTAGTACTGCAAGTACTTGTCATAGCACTACTTTTTCTGTTACTACTACTACTACTACTACTACTACTACTACTACTACTACTACTACTACTACTACTACTACTACTACTACTACTACTACTACTACTACTACTACTACTACTACTACTACTACTACTACTACTACTACTACTACTACTACTACCACGACCACTACCACTACCACTACCAACACCACTACCACTGGTACTACTACTCCTGCCTCTTGGGGCCTCCTGGGCCCCCTTGGGGTGTCCTGTCAGACCGTCGGGCTTCCTCCGGCCACCTCTGGCTTCCTGCGGTGCACCGGGCCATTCTCGACTCGTCTGGCAATGCGTGCGCGGCATTCAACACGCGCTCGCCAGTTCCCGTCGGCAACCGCCATCGCGGCCGCATCAGCTGTACCAAACCGGCTGGCCGGTGTGACTTCGGCCCCCAGTTGTGCCAGCTTTGCTTCTTATGTTGTGGGAGGGCGGGTGGGACTGGGCATGCCATGCTTGACTCGCTCGAGCTGGCTAGCTTGACTCCTCCTCCTACTCCTCCTCCTCCTCCTCCTCCTCGTCTTCCTTCTCCTCATCCTCTCGAATTCCTTGTCCTTATAAGCAAGTCCTCCCTGTCGCACCCCGAGGCGGGTCGAAAGGGTGGAACCGGCGTTTCGCCTGAGCCTTCCTGACCACTTATGATCCAGAAGCGGAACAATTGGCAACGGTTTCACAAATGGAGGGCGGATGGTTTTCAAAACGTGGCTCTCGCCTTAGCGCTGCGCACATTCGTCCCTTAAAAACTGCAAGAGCTTCACGGGTTGATGGCGGGTGGCTTTCAAAATGTGGATCTCGCATTCGCGCCGCGCAAATTCGTTTCTGGAAAATTGCGAGGGAGGTTCAATGGTTCTCATGGCTAGCGTAACAGGAACGGTGTGTTGGATCGGTTCGGGACTGTCGGGGCACAACATTCATGTTGATTCGCGGTGTAGATGTCCCAGGAATGGCGTTGTGGCACGATTCAAATCGCCAAGAAGTAACAATCACGTTAACTCGTGGTTTGAACTCCTGAGACTCGTGTTTTGGCACGCTCCAGGAGTTTCACACGGTTGTCCCCCAACGGGACAATTCCCTCAATGAAAATGAACACATGGATGGGGCCTATGGACAGGGAGCTTAGAGTAAGGGTGTATTCCAACATCGTTGATGAGTCTTGGCTTTACACTGGTCCTCCTCCTCCTCATCATCATCCTCCTCCCTTGTCTATTATCCCTTCTCTCTTCTCCCGCCTTTCTTCTCCCTCCTCTGTTCTCCCTCCTTCTCATATTCTTCCTCCTCCTCTTCCTCCGCCTCCTCTTCCTCATCTTCCTCCCCCCTCCCACCCCCATCCCCCTTCTGCCCTCCTTTCCCCTTCTTTCCCCTCCCCCGCCCCCGTCCACCCACGTCCCCCTCCTCCTTCACTTACCCTCGCTGCCCCGCGCCGTTCCGCCTCCTTCAGCTCGCCGCCGCTCGAAAGCCGCGGGTCGGCAGTCGAACCTGCGCGCGGCGACGCTGCGGCAGAGGCGCCAGCGGATAAGGCGAACGCGGAAGCCGAGTGCCCGTCGAAACGGGGGAGGAAGGGAAGGGATGAAGAGAGAGGAGGAGGAAGAGGAGGACGATGAGGAGGAGGGGGAGAACAATAAGGAGGAGGAGGAGGAGGAGGAAGAGGAGTAACAGTAGGAGTAAGAGGCAGAGGAAGAAGAAGAGGAGGAGGAGAAGGAGGAAGGGGAGGAGGAGGCGGAAAATGAGGAGGAGGGACAAGGGAGGAGGGAAGAGGGAAGAGGAACAGGGAGGAAGAAGGGAGGGAGGAAAGGAGGGAGAGATGGAGTGAACGATTCCAAGCCGTTGCGCAACTTTTCGGGATGGGAGGTTCCCAAATGGCTGGACTTCCAGGACCAATCGCCACTACATTTGAAAACGCATCGCCTGGCGCCTTGCCCAATTTGCCGTAAACGCGGGAATATATATATATATATATATATATGTATGTATGTATATATAATATATATATATATATATATATATATATATATATATGTATGTATATCCCCCTCTCTCTATATACATATATATATACATATATATATATATGTATCCAGAAAGAAGACATGGAACCGATGGCGCAGCCACCTCCTATGTGGATCTGCGCAATGCCAATGCGGGTCGCCAGCAATGGGTGGCTGGGGGCCATCGCTACTCAGCAAAACGGATTTCTACGGCCGCGGGGCCCGGCGGCCCACGGCATTCGAGCTTGGGAAGCCCATTGCGTAGCGAGTGTCCGGTGTATCCGGAACATCGGCGACGTCGGAAATACTCTCGGATCGCGAAGGCTGGGAGAGTAAGAGAGAGAGAGAGAGAGAGAGAGAAAAACAAAAAAAGGGAGGGCAGGCTGTGGATTGCGCGGGAGTGTTTGCATGGATACAGAAAGACACGAGGTACAAATAGGGGGGCCCGTGCTAGAAGAGAGCACGTTCTCTCCTGGACAGCTTGTTGGCCTTCCTCCAGTGGGCACTCATGCACTTTTCTACAGGTCCAAGAAGTCTGCTGGAGGTCCTTCCAATCCTGGAGGCGGTGTAGTGATGAATAGTCACCGCGGCCTTCATGGCCTAGAAAACGGATCCACCCGTTGGTGGAGGATACTCGACGAAGCCTTCGAGGATCCCCACTGCACCGTTCAACTCACCGAGATTATCCAGCTTGCGTGCCATTTCTTCTCCTCCGCCTGCCTCTCCGAGGAACTTGATCTGGTCCAAGATGTCCTCGATGGCGTTCTCCCCTTCTTTTGCCAGCTCCCCCCAGCTGTCGACCATAAACTGCTTCTCCTCCTGAGGGGGATGCCATAGGTTTCTACCGATCTTCGGAAGTTCGTCGCAGTTCAAGCTGGGGTGATGGCCAGCGCTGCAGTTGCCCAGCGAGGCAGATCTCTAAATGGCCTAGCGGCGAGATCTGGCGCCGGGTGAAGATCGGAGGGGTCGTGGAGCTCGGTGTTCGCGCACACCCGGAAGCACGCGTAGAGGGCCTCGCTGTCACCACTCTCGTCTCACTCAAACGTGTTGCACGACGTCGAGTGGCATTTGCGTCAACAGCTTCTGCCAAACTCGGAAAGTAGGCTGTCGCGGGTACTGGTGGCGCGCGGCCATCATCTCCGACGTAAGATCGTTGAAAGTCGCGTTGAAGCTCGGATCCTGGGCGATCGGCTGAGCACGGCACTTTAATGACATATAGTAGATCACATCATCGGTAGGGCAGCGTCCGTTCCTTCCGGGTTCGGATGGCTCGTCCTTCGTCGCCTCAGCCTGATTCACTATGCCTGGCTTCATCTGCAGGATCCTCTCCCTCTCCGGCTTCGCGATGTAGTCCAGTGGCTGCTTGCATGCTGGTAGGAGGTCTGGTAGCGCGATGAGGTCGTCCCGCTGACCTAGCATGGTAGTGATCTCCGGCAAGAAGTCCCAAGTCCTGAACACCCTGATATACTGCCACACTGCGAGAGCGATACTGCGGTCCCTTCACCTCGGCTGGTGCCAAGTGGACGAACCCGTAGTTCTTGCAAGGTGGGATCGTTGTCGTTAGGAATCTCCACCAGGCCGCTCAAAGGGACGCGCAGTCCAGCTTCATTGCCAAGCTCCCGACTTGCCGCGCACCTGGCAGCGCAATCGAAGTCCAGGTTCTGCTCGTGGGCAACATTCAGATTGGCCCGGTCGACTTGCCCACCTGGAGTGGCGACCGTGTTCGAGCACCTCACCTTGGAGCTTCGCCGATGGACCAGGACGTAGACACTCACGGTTCCGACGTACTTAGGCCTCGGGAGGGGTGGCCTGTTCTCCTCGGTGGTCTCCCTAGCTGTCTCCTCAGCTGTCTCCTGGGCTGTCTCCTGGGCCGCGCGGTCAGCAAGGTAGACGTTGGCGCGAGGGCGCTGTGCTCCTGTCGGAGGTCCCCTGATTCCTTTCGCAATTGGAGCTTCGCCCTCAAGCATCTCTGGAGTCGGCTCGGGCTCTTCTTGTTATTCCTTTTCTGCTTTGGCCAGAGCATTATCGATCTGCTTCCTCTGAGGGAGGCTTCGCAGGGCGCCTCGTACTGCTGTGGAACGTCGTCGCCGTAGACGTTGCCACCTGATGCTGCGACAGGTTGTCCACCACAGGGGCTCTTCGTCCTGCGTGATATGTCTTCCTGTTCGCCATCGTCGCCCTCGGTCGGGCCCTCGTCCTCGACCTCCTCGAACTGCTCGGTCTTGCGCTTGGCCTTCCTGCTCTGCCGGCGCCTCCAGTGCTTATCCCTTCTTACTTGGATGGCCTCATCGGTCATCGGTTGAGTCCGCACGCAGCCTAGGTTCTCCTTGGTAGGTATTCGGGCTCCCTTCGGCGTGTCCCCTGTTTTTTTCCAGGTCCGCCATCGTGCTGATATGGCCTCTTGTCGTTCAAGGCGCGCTTGATCCTGCAGAGTCGATGATTATGCAGCTGCCCCTTGAAGTAACGGTTCCATGAAGCCCAGGTGTGTATGGAAATTGAAAGAGGACTGCGCGAGCTGGTTCCTTCTGGAACGCTGGATGCGTTGCATCTCCCAACGAACCGCGAACTTGTAGAGGACGGTCGGCAGCCCCTCAGCATAGCCCGCGGGATTCGTAGCCTCTGGGTCGAACACCTTTTGCTCCAGCCCCATCGACTTGACGTTGAGCACATATGAATCCGCTCTCCGCCTCGACGCGCTGCTTGGTCAACGCCGTCTTGATCTGATGCAGATCGAGGTGCCGCTGCAGCTTGGCCCGTTGAATTTCAGCTCGAGGCTCCTCCCCCGCCCCCTGAAGCTGAACAGTTCTCTGCTGACGGCGCAGCGAACCACCTTCAGCATCCTGCATCCTGGTGAGCACCTGGTCCAAACGACGAACTTCCAACTCGAGGTTCTGGGTCGTTGCCAGGAGGAGTGCAATGTACGCCTTGCTGCGATCAATATGTGGTGCCAAGTCGGATGGAACCCGCTCCCTCGGGACATACTCAGGTAGCTCTAGGCGGTTGGCGTAATCTTCGAAAGTCTTGTCGCAGTCGTCCCCGCGGCGTATCCTGTTCGCCTTTTCGCCTCGGCGGCCGGTGATCTTCTGGCTTCTGCCTGCTATCTTCAAATTTCTCGGCGTCGGATGACAAGGGGTTCCATGCCGGCAACCTCCCTGGCCATGTAGTTCACAACATCACTGTCGCCGCCGTCGCGTGCGATGACGCATTGGCCTCTGGGTTCGGAGCGTTCCCGGAAATGCGGATCGCGCGCGTCGTTGGCCCCGCGCTGCTCGTCGCGCAGCCGCTCGCCAACCCCCGCAGATCCCGCGCCTTCCACGCCCGTGGGATCTTGGAAGTCCGAGTCGAGGCGAGTCTCCTTCAGCCTCCAGGGTCCGAAGAAGGGAACTCTCAGCTGCTCTCGCGCACCTCGCCTGCTCCTCGTTCTTCCTGAAGGTCATGATGGAAAGACGCGCAGGGATGATCTTCAGGGGGCGCCGCTGGCGCCGAGCTGCGGGGGGCAACCCGGGGGTCGTCGGCCGACGCGGCCGCTGAACCGCCTGAGCCGCCACCCTTTTGTCATCGTGGTTCCCGCAACTGTAGAAAATGTCGCCCATGATGTCGCCGTCGAAGTCGACTGGATCACCCTGTTCTCCTCTGGGTTGGTCGTCGAGTAGATGCACGGGGGGCCCAGGCGCGGGCCCTCGGGCGGCAAGGCGCCGCAGGTAGGGGAAACCCTGGCCGCGAAGCAATGATCGCAAGCTGTAGACGGCGGCTCATCGCGACAACGCGCTGACGCATTCACTGCGCGAGGAGGGCAACACATAACATCGCGCATCGAAAGAGAGTGAATCTGCAGCAGGCAGGGTAAAAAGTATGGCACGCTTCGGAGACACACGATAAGAAGTAGTGTTCAGCGGGGGAATGTGATTCGAAATGATCGATCTCGGATTGCGTTTCCTGGTGGCCAATCGATGCGCTTTCCTTCTGTCCATCTCCTCCCTTTTTCCCTGGCTGTGCGTGATTTAACCGTCTGCGTAAATTGTAGTGGGGGTTGCACGTTCCCTTTTCAATTCGCCGCGCCGTCCGCAGGGTCAAGTTAGCGCGGGAACCGGCGACGCTGACCATGGAGGTTCCCCAAGGAATCCCGAATCATTGCAATATCTAAGACAGCTTGCTTCTCAGTCGAGGCGAACTGTTCCCGATTGATACAATCGTGCAATGATTTCGCGCTGGTGATGGCGATGATGTCCAGGTCGGAATTTTGCTCCATGGTAGTCGTCACTCGGATTTCTCGTTTCATAGCGCGTCGATCTCGGAGCTCGAAACGGTCACCTTTTACCATGTAAAAGGCCGCGAAGTACCCCTACTCGGCCCCTGCCAAGCCCTCGGACGCAGCATTCGCCGTCACCGCCAAAAGTAGAGCTCCCAGCGCGCTCAGTTTTGTGGGGATGCCAAGTAAGAGTACTGACATCAGCTTCCATCCCCATCAAGGGATCTTTGTCCGCGGCGCAG